CCTGACTACGAAGAACCCATTCTACAGTCTGTGGGAGACGATTCAGCTATCAGAACACGTCAGGTGGCCTAAGCATGTGGTACATTTCATAGTACCCCTCTATTGGATGCTTTTGCACACATCATCAGTGATGTTTTTAGCCGAGATTTATTAGGGCTTTCGGGTCTTTCAACATCATATCACCTCTCCGGGGTGACCCTGCCGATACTGATTGGATATCGAATTGTGTACCCCTTTCGTTAGCTACAGTTTTTCCCATCTTTATAACTACACCCTGCAACTCCCCTTAGCCATTTATAAGCCTACTCCTAAATAACTTCCGGTTCACTAGCAATGTTCGCCCTTCCATAAAAAAGGAAGCAAACGTACACACAATTTCTATCTGGTTTGAAACATGGGGCGTGTTCGGCTTGAAGTGGTAAGTAACGATTTGTTTCCCTCACCGAGACATATACACATACGTGGTACAATAGAGGCTAGACACTCGCATCAGTTTACGATTAGATGTATAGACTGGAATTGTAGATGACTGTCTGGTAGGTCCATATGTTCTCCCAGCACGTCTTACAGGAGCTGTCTACAGGGACGTTATTTCGAACACACTTTCTAGACCTGCTAGAGGATGTACCCCTGCTAATACAACAATGCATGTGGTCCATGCATGATGGGGCTCCAGCACATTTTGGTCATATTGTTCGCGATGCAATGGATGACTTCTACCATGAAAGATGGATGGGTAGGTTTTTGATCGGTTCTATGGCCTGCATGTTCACCCGACTTCAATCCTTTGTTTTTTTTTTCTTATCTGTGATGCTACCTAAAACAATTGGTTTATGTAGCAGGCATTAATAATGCAGAGACGCTTCATCAACATGTCATGAGTGTCTTCGAAATCATTCGACATTGTGTGGAAGTATTTGAAGGGGTCCACCAGTCAATGATCCGACTGGTGCATGCGTGTGTAAAGCCAGCGAGGGACATTTTGAACATTTTTTATGCGTTGCTGTGTTGAGGTACAACGATAGCTTTTTGGACATGTTTATATGGATATTTTTCCTTGTTTTGTTGTCAAGAACCCGCCCTAATATTTGTAAATGTATTTTTTATACACCCTATATATATATATATATATATATATATATATATATATATATATATATATATAATTATTTATTTAAAATATTTTTAAATAAATAATCATATCTTTAAATAAATAATTATATTTATGCTCTACTTTTGTATCGAGCACTATTTTTTAAAAAATAATAACTAAAATACTAAGGAACTTTGGATTACTTACCTAACCAGTTCCCTCCTAATTTCTATATATTTTCACACACACACACACACACACACACACACATACACACACACATATATATATATATATATATTTCTAATTTCGACCATGTCTGTCACCAACTCTCCCCTCTCTATATCAACTTAATACTACCCCTCAAAAGTGTATAAAAACATATATATAAATTTAAATTCATTTTTCCCCCTTGGAAGTGTGGTCTGATGAGCCAGGGAAAAAGAAATTCCCTGCAGAAATAAATTATAACCAATGGATCCTTAAAGTTGTCTGTTTTAATTGAATTAATCGCTCTGATTTAACTCTGGATTTCATCCTCTTTGAGATTATCCATACGGATTACCAAAATTTTCATTACTTAACTATATATATATATATATATATATATATATATATATATATATATATATATATTATTCTGGGACCGTTGCGTACCAGAAAATTGTGCCCCCAGACATTTACGTCCCTAGAAATATGCGTCCATGGATAATTGTTGGAATGAACTGAAAATGCTTGCTTCATTTTCTCTTGCTTTAAAAATGAAATTTTTCTCTTTTTTTATTTATGGTAAGTATCTTACTGCTTGTTTAGAGTAATTAAAGGTACCGGTGTGCAAATTTCTATATTAAACAAACTCCTTAAAAAAAATAATAACTTCAAGAAATTATCAATTGTACGCAAATATTGGGTGACGTATTTGTCTAGGGACGCAAATATTTAGTGACGTATTTGTCTAGGGACGCAAATGTCCAGGAACGTAACTATCCATCTACCATATATATAAATATATATAGACAGACAGACAGACCGACAGAAAGACAGAGAGAAAGATAAAGAAAGAAAGGCAGAGAGGAGTGTTCCCCTGGTATTTGAGGACATATTTAGTGAGTCATATATAGAAATAATGTTACGCGGCATGCGCCCAACTTGCATATTTCTTTCAGAATTATCAAGAGCATTGATATTACAGCAAGCAAAACCGACAAATGGATGGGAAAAGACACGTCGGCGACGTAACACTAGCCATTAAAGTGAAAATGGACAGGTGAACAGGAAGAACGAGTGGTAACGCTCCGCTGATTCCACAAAGGTACCTAAGTTCCCGTCATCTAAGATGGCTTTGGAATGTCGTGAGCAACGAGGGTGGGACATATCATTTCGCCCCATCTCTTCCTGTGGATTTTTAGGGTTTATTTCATTGTCTATATCGATTTTGTAGACGCGATGATCAAGCGCAGGATCAAAAAAAGGGCCGTATCTATCCTAAGAGGATTCTACTCCCCTCCATCATGGTCCACGTTACCCACTCGGATAATAGCAATAAAAATTGCAATATGAGCTCTGGTAAAAACGTGCAATAACAGGAAAAAATTGCAATATGAGCATTGGTAAAAAAAATGTGTGCTGAAGACATTAAGTTTATAATACCCAGAAATTCATACACATGGCACACAAGGACACATGGCACAGTGGATAAAGGCGTTAGTTAGATCCAGTGTATAGGAGTGTGAGTTCAATAACCGGTTAAGGCGATGGAGAACTTGGAGAGGGGAGTTAACAGGAGATAACTGATAACTGACATCCATTAAACATGGCACGTGGAACTAGAACAGTCTACCCCAGTGAGCGAAATAAAGGGTTCAGTTCGACATTCCAACCACCTGAAGAAAGCCGGAAAGAAACGTTGTAATAAATATGGCGACAAAGATGAGGACCATAGTAAAGAATGTATATAATGCCTCACCTCATAAATATAGACAGATACTGAAAGACCGAAACGTTGTAATAACTATGGCGACAAAGATGAGTACAATAGTCCGAATAATGTAAATAATGCCTCATCTCAGAAATATCGACAGACTGAAATATTATTATTATTATTCCAATTTTTCTTATCTACTCATCTTTACCATAGAATTTGACATGTTTTCTTGTGTATAACACGAAGTGCTTTAACTATATATACGTTCCCCTTCTTGATTGATTGGCACAACAAAATTTTGCTTTCTTCAACATGCGCAACATTCGTTTACTTGTAAGATTTGATATATCTACATGACACGAATATCGATCTCAATTTGTTAACATCTACCGATCTATTCATATCAATCTCTGTTCATAATTCATAAAGAACTCTTCGTTTTTTTTCTCATCCAGACATCGTCATTGGAGCGTCTCATTCTCACAGTTCTCAATCCAAATGAAAGCCACCGAGTGTAATTAAATGTCTACTTTCATTGCAAATTCATTGTATAGAGGAAAATCACCTTATGTTTCTTCCCAGACACGCAAAGAACTCTTCTACAGAAGGAGGCTAAAAGACACTCAAGTTAACAAAAAGCTGAAAAGTGAGGAGGAAAAGAAATCGGCTGCTTGTTAAACACTTACGTTTAGATTTTCTGTATAAAATGATTAAAAGACAAAGAACATGTATTAAACTTGAAGCGTGAAGGAGAAGATTTTGAAAATAAAGATTTTCACCCAATATCTGTATCAAAGCTCAAAATTAATTGGAACGATCAGAAGAAAACGTACAAACAATGCTGAGGCGAGGGGTTCGCTTAACTTTTCTTAAAGTTGCTCGGGCTGAATAAAGACCAAGAAAAATAAGTTTTTCGCATCTGTGAATTTGTTTAAAATTTATTGAAACAACTCGTCCGTTTTCTTCAGGTTAATTTACGAAAACCAAATCAGATTTTGTACGTTTCATTGAAATTCACTTGCGACGATTTAATGGCTGAAATAATTGCGAATTTTGCTTTTGTTTTACTACTTAGTCTTTTAACCCCAGCCAAAATTTCAAATAATAATATTTTTTATTCAGACACTTCCTTATAGCCATCTTTATACCACCACACAAAATTATATACACACACACACATATATATATATATATATATATATATATAATGTGTGTGTTAGCATGTGTGTGCGTGTATATATATATATATATATATATATATATATATATATATATATATATATATATATATATATATACGAAGAGAAGAGAGAAGCCGCAAACGTTTTTGGTTATAATGTGGATTTTTTAAATATATATTGTACTTTATTTTCCATATTTTTGCTACACATGTTTCCAGTGTATAACGTTTCTTTCGTGTTCATAGGCAAGAATAGTTTTTTCTCTTGCCTTTTATTTATTTTGTTCCTTTACAGATACACTCTATCTGAAAATAATTCACACACACACACACACACACACACACACACACACACACACACACACACACACACACACACATAGGCCTTATATGCAAGAATTTATCAAATTATTTATACACAGAAATAAATTCAACTACAACTTTGACCGACCGAAAGCCACACTTATTACAAAAGAAAGTAATTCACTTAGAAGGAAGATTCTCGAAAGTGCCTCTATCGAATCTTATCAAAATATAAATCTACACCCCAAATTCTTTCCAATATAGACATTCCAGAAAGAACGACTACTTTTCCAAGCCGACATATATGACTAATGAAATGCTAAAAAATGAAAATAAAACAGTTAAATATATATATATATATATATATATATATATATATATATATATATATATATATATATATATATATATAGGTATGTGTGTGTGTTTGTGCGTGTGTGTACAGAAAAATGAGTCGCCATGGTGCGCCATCGTTATAAAGATATTGGTATTATTTCCACTTTCAAATGGTGAAAATTTAGCCATTTGCTCGTAAATGGACATAGATATGAAAAGACAATAGATAGATAGATAGATAGATAGATAGAAATACTGCGATAGATAGATAGATTGTGTGGAAAATATTATTAGATGGCATTTGTCTGTCCACTCTCGTTCCGTTAAATAGATTAAATGTCGAGACAGTGGCATTTTAAGTAGAAATCGAACCTGCATCTAATTCTATCCCTTCCGGCCAAGATGGCTTCTCGCGTCGTCTGTTTTTACCTTACTGCATTGTTGGTAATGAACGCCATTAATATCGATCTTGCTTATCAAATAAGCGGAAAAATCAAAACGAAAAGAAAAAGAAAGAAATTTAATGGCCAAAAAAAGGCCAAGAAGAAATGAAAAAGAAGACTTTAGAAAGAATAGGGATAAAGAGTAGCGTTAGAGAAAGATAGGAAAAGAAACGATAGAGAAAAGAAGCGTGATGAAATCAAACAAATAAAAGAGAAAGAGAGAAGGATGGTCAAAGTCAAAGGGAGGGGTAGCTTTTAAGACGGGACACGAAAAATGTGAAAACAAACAAGAGAATAAATGTAAGTGAGATAAACAGAAAGAAATACGGGAATCGATTTTTGGAAGACCACATCTGATGATGTGAAGCCAGTGAAGCCGATAGGGTTGTGTAAAATGTGTTTCTCACATTACAAGTCAACTGACACATGTGTCACATTTACAATATGTTTAGGAAGAGAATCAGTAAAATTCACTTCGGCAAAATCTTATGTGAGGGTTGTATAAAGGTTATCGACGCAAAAAGCCGGGTATTGGTGAGCCGAATACAAAGTCCAGGCTAGCGTGTTGTTTTATGCCCTTGTGAAAGGCAAGAATTCGTCTTTTCTCTCAATCTAACGATAGTTTAAATAGTAGAGTATACTGTGCTTTCTAGCCTTGTGCGGTTTGTTAGCATAAGAAAAATACTATCGTGAATTGAAAATCGTGGAGAAAGCAACGGGAAACAACTTTATTGTTTTTTCCTAAGAATTTGTGCAATTCATTGATTACAGAAAGTTACTGTGTAGAGAACCATGTTCGCGTTCGGCCTGAAGGGATATGGCTTTTAAGAATGTGTTAAATAACAGGATAGACTAGGCCCTCTAGCCTTGGGTGGCAGTCAGTCTTACAGAAAGACTACTTTGAACTCCAAACTATGGAGAAAACGGGAAAACCTGTCTTTTATTTTTCCCGCTAACAATTCGCAGGCATCTGATATGACCTCCCACACTTTGAAAGAACTTAGCATAAGGATTAAAAATAAATAAATGCCTATATTTTATATAAATAATTCAGATAGATAGATAGATAAATAGATATTATTGATTGGTTGATTCGTTTATCAAAACTTTTCAGGTTAATTAGGGCTGAAAATATTTTTAGATTGTAAGAAAATGTTTTTTTTTTTTAGTGATACAAGTTCTACTAATTAATCTACAGTTGGAGGAAGAAGAGATGGATTAATATCTTTCCCTAGAGTATTTGCGTATTAGTGAATATAACGAACCCAACCGGAATTAGAACTCGGCTCTTCGATGAAAAATTCGGAAACATTATCCATTAGGCCACGCGCACATCCAAGCTTACAGCACTTGGAATTCCTAAGTGGTCACCCATGGAGATACTGACCAGGCACAACTTTACTTCGATGATCGTGTGGAAATCGGTGTTTCAACGGGATATGACTGTAAGCAATAGATAGATAGATAGATAGATAGATAGATAGATAGATAGATAGATAGATGTGAACAGGTTGAGATTAGATAGATAGATAGATAGATAGATAGATAGATAGATAGATCTTGTCGTAGTATGTAGGTTACCCATTGCTACTAAGGTCAAATATAAATAATAACTCATCAGGATGAGTATCCTTTATCCGAAATTCCAAAATCCAAAAGTTTTTTCCGGTGCTGACATGATTTGCTACAAATGGAACATTTTAGAAAGCATTGTGAAGGTTCCTAGAGGGGGATGTGCAACTGTTGTAAGTGACCGTCATCTACCCTGATTGGTGGTTCCCGAGACAGCTACGGAGCATATTTTGGCGTCAGTTTTTTTTTGTTAGCGATCATCATAGCAACACCTACGTTCATTGGTTACTTGCCAGGTGTTTCTTGTTGAGTAAATATATTATTCAAAATGTCAAAAGTCCTGCAGATACCCATATGGGTAGTGAAAAAAAAAGAAAGCATTTATGTTTATCTGTCAAACTGTTGGGAAAACCAGACAGAGGTGAAAGTGTGAAGCATCGGACCGAGGAGTTTGGCGTTGGAACAACCGCCATATATGTAAGATCTAAGGAAACAGAAGCAGAAATTGTTAAATGTTTAGACTGAAAGTGATGAACTGAAATTAATGAAAAATTAAGATAAAAACATTGCACAGAGCAAGAAACGACAATCTCGATTGTGTATTAATGAAGTGAATTCGTCAGCGTGAATTGCCCGAATTCTAAAAACCGAAAAAATCTGTCTATATTTCTGAGATGAGGTATTATGTACGCTATTTACATTATTCGGACTATTGTCCTCACATTTGTCGCCATTTTTATTACAACGTTTCGGCCGTTGTACGCTCCGGCCTTCTTCAGGTGGTTGGAATGTCGAAATGAACCCTTTATTTAGCTCACTGGGGTAGACTGTTCTCGTTCCACGTGTCATGTCCAATGGATGTCAGTTAATTCCCCTCTCCAACTTCACCACCTTAACCAGGTATTGAACTCACACTCTTTGGGTCCTGTCACTGGATCTAACTAACGCCACTCTGCCATGTGTCCTTGAGGACATCTATGTATGAATTTCTGGGTATTATAAACCTAATGTCTTCAGCAATCATTTTTTTACTAGTGCTCATATTGCAATTTTTGCTGTTATCATCATGTTTTTACCAGAGTTCATATTGCAATATTTGTTGTTATCGCTTTTCTTTGGCACTCCTTGTTACTGTTGCCCATATTGTATTCATGTCTATGCTTGGTCGGCTCAGGAGATTTTTGTGGCTTAGCATATGTGCTAATTCCTTAAGTTTACGAATTTTCCAATGATGTTTTTTGTCTATGATCTCAACCTGATCCCACAGAAGGCAGTGATCTCCGTTTTCTCTCCATATGTGGTCAGCCACACTTGATTTTCCTCCTTTCCCTCGTGTTACCGCTTTCTGGTGTTCCTTAAGCCTTAACTTAAGGAGGTGGCCTGTCTCCCCTTTATATTTCTTTCCGCAGCTGCACGGGATAGCGTACACACAGTCCTTAGTCATGTTCTCCTCTTACTCGGGAGAGATATCTGCGAAGTGTCGTCCAGCTTTTGAAGGTTGTCCTGATGTTATATGGACCGCAGATCCTTTGTATTTTCTCTGATAACCCCTTCCCATAAGACAAGCAGACTATTTTCTGAGTGCTGTTGTCCTTCTCTTGTACCAGCCTATCCCAGTTTATTGTAGGGTACTACCTATACTGACCAATTCTTTATCTAATGTCTCTGGGTCGCCATTTATGAATTTTGCTCGGTGCTGTAAGCAGCGGGCGATCCCTTTCTTTACTCTGTATGGATGGTGGGAGTTAAAATTGAGGTAATGTCCGGTGAATGTCAGTATACCGTATACGGATGTCTTGAACCCATGCTCTGTTCGAGATATTAGAACATCCAGGAATGGGAGAGTGTTGTTACTCTCTTTTTCCATCGTGGTCTTATTGAGTTCACATGGTCCAGTAGAACCTGAACATCTTCCTGCTTTGGCCAGAGTATGAAGGTGTCATCTACGTACCTTAACCATAGAGTTGGCTTTAGAGATATAGATTCTAATGCCATTTCCTCAAAGTATTCCATGTATATATTCGCCATTGTTGGTGATAATGATGATCTCATTGCTTAGCCATCATCCTGTCGATATATGTGTGATCTCATTCTAAAGTGTGTTATTTGTGTACAGAAAGTCAACATCTCAATATGGAAACCAGTAATAAGGAGTGACATAGAAAAGCGATAACAATAACAAATATTGCAATATGAGCTCTGGTGAAAACATGTAATGCTAACAGAAAAAATTGCAATAGGAGCACTGGTAAAAAATGGTTGCTGAAGACATTAGGTTTACAATACCCAGAAATTGATAAACGGATGTCCTCAAGGACACATGGCACAGTGGATAAAGGCGTCAGTTAGATCCAGTGACAGGACCCAAAGAATGTGAGTTCAATACCTTGGAGAGAAAAATTAACAGGAGATAACTGACATCCATTAGACATGGCATGTGGAACTAGAACATACAGATTTGCGCAAAAATCGACATTGATAAGAAATTGGTAGTGGGATGCTAATAACAAATTTCCTTTGACTACGTAAGACTTTTATGTAACAATTACACTCGTTGTACGATTTTAGTCAATAAGTTTTATAAATCCACTTTTCTCCCAACTGGTTGTTGCTCTGACTGGAAGCATTGTTTTAAAACGGGTGATAGTCGCGACAGCGCCTTTTATAAAAATCACACACGTTCGAATAACTTCATTTTATTACAATCTCGCTGCCCACGATTTCTTTTCTAGTCTTTCTAATTTGCCTGATACAAGCAGAGCTTGAAATAGAACACTCAGCCGTAAATATAAATAAACAAAGGAGACATTTTCTTATAGTTCATACACTTGATAATAGCCACTCTGTTACAATTCTGACACAGTCGAACCAAAGTACTAATGACGTCACTGTCGACGTCAAACTTACGTCACACCTTCAGAGAACTAGTGGAGTAAGCAGGCGAACAATCAGAGCTCGTTTTCTACAACATTGGACTTGAAATTTGAAAAGAAGAAAAAATAACAAAATATAAAAAAAATCATCAATTGATACTCAGTAAAATTCTGTTACCTACTGATACGATTCTTTCATCGATGTATTTAGATAAATATCTATCAATTTAGTTTAACTTTAATTGGGCTATGGCTTCTTTTCTAATGGAATCTACATTTCCAGGATACTGTTTCCAAAACATTTGATATTTTTGTATGCGCGAGAAATTCATACAAATCGGTGATGAACTGAATTGGAATTGCCATTGATTCAGAAAACATTGGAAATCTTTATCTGCTGATCTTTTTTTCTTTATAAATACTTTCTGAATGTAGAAGTGATCTTTAAAAACATGGGCTTTTTTAG